TCGTTGCCATGCTCCCACCAATAACGTAGCTCCATTTTCTGCCTTTAAAAGCACACACAACCCACAATTCCTCTATTCGCTCCGACGAAGGGCTAACGCTCGAAACGTCAGCTTTTGTAGTCATTACGGTGGCCAATTTACCATTTCAACTTTGTTGATATATCCAAATTATTTCGTTACTCCCACCGACGCAGCCCCATACAGTTTCTTTCGAAACTATCAGCCTTTATTTTTTTTCTCACTAGAGTTCCTTTTCCTTGAGTCTTTAGGCTCTAGCAGAATCCTTCATTTTCAATTTATTGATTTTGCCGCTAAAGAAGACAGTAATTTTAAAGAAACAAATCTTTGAAATAGGTCGAACTGCAAACTTCCTAGAATTGTAAAGATTATGTGGTTCGCACCATACGAAAAAAAGAAAGAAAAAACAAGAAAATAACAAGATCAATGAAATTTCTTATCAGTTAAAGAAAAAAATATAGCCTGCCTTTCGTAGACATTCCATCTTTGTTCAAGAAAAAGCTAAAAGAAAAATTGACTAGCTAGAAATAGCCCGGCATCGAAACGGGATTTGTGGGCGGTCACTTACACCTCGCCTTTTTATTTTTTTTTTCCACATTTTAGGTATATTTGAATGATTCAGCTTTCTTTCAGCTTTCCTTCATCTTTCTTTCCTTCGTTTGTGTTCTTTTCTCGTGAGTATTTAGGCTCTAGCAAAATCCTTTTTCAATTTATTGATCTTGCAGCGTGCCGCTAAAGTGCCTTTTGTAAGATTAATTTGTATTGGAAAACAGTATTTTTTAATACACAAAGCCTTTGTTACTATCACCTATTGTGATTTCTCACTTGAGTTCTTTTTCCTCGAGTCTTAATTAAGGCTCTGTCAGGCTCCTTTTTCAATTTATTGAGTTTGCCTCTGAAGTGCCTTTTGTAGCTTTTATTTTGGAAGACAGTATTTTTCAATAAACAAATCTTTGTTTTAGCATCTTTTTTTTTTTGGCTTGTGTCTTTAAGGCTCTACCAGAATCCTTTATCAATTCGCGCTTTGGCGGCATACTTTCAATTCTGTTTGCCGCTTAAGTGCCATTTATAATATTTTTGAATAATATTTTTGTAGTACTCAGAAGGGTGCGATTCAACCAAAAATTAAATCACAATCGGTTAAAAGTGAGGAAATTTTCCTTTTTCCTTTCCTCGAGAACCTTTCGCCAACGTTTCTGTCCTAAAGCCTCCTTAGAAGCATAGTAGCCTCTCCGAAGATTACCCACTCACCCCTCCCCCGACCCACGTCTTACTTGTAGCCAATAAAAAACTTTATTACAAAGTATTTGCGGTTCTGATACATTGAGCGTTGCTTTTCACTCCAATGATTAAAATACTTTAACTACCTGGTAAGTCTCTTGGACCCAAAATTAAGATTTGACTTGCTACCGTTTACTTCGTTTAACTACAATAATCTATTAAAGTTAATAGAACAACAACAAACATATGAAACATATGAGTGAACTGCGGTTATGAGACGTATATAAGAACGATCCTTCGCAGTAAAGCACTATTTGAGCAATAGTGGAAATCAGACCTGAAAAAAATTTCAGGCCTGTACGGGATTCGAACCACTGACCTCTGCGATACTAGTGCAGCGCTCTACCAATTGAGCTAACAAGCCAACTGGGAGCAGGCCATCAAATTAATTCGATATAAACCCGTAGATGATAAATCGAACAACAACAAACATATGAAACATATGAGTGAACTGCGGTTATGAGACGTATATAAGAACGATCCTTCGCAGTAAAGCACTATTTGAGCAATAGTGGAAATCAGACCTGAAAAAAATTTCAGGCCTGTACGGGATTCGAACCACTGACCTCTGCGATACTAGTGCAGCGCTCTACCAATTGAGCTAACAAGCCAACTGGGAGCAGGCCATCAAATTAATTCGATATAAACCCGTAGATGATAAATCGAACAACAACAAACATATGAAACATATGAGTGAACTGCGGTTATGAGACGTATATAAGAACGATCCTTCGCAGTAAAGCACTATTTGAGCAATAGTGGAAATCAGACCTGAAAAAAATTTCAGGCCTGTACGGGATTCGAACCACTGACCTCTGCGATACTAGTGCAGCGCTCTACCAATTGAGCTAACAAGCCAACTGGGAGCAGGCCATCAAATTAATTCGATATAAACCCGTAGATGATAAATCGAACAACAACAAACATATGAAACATATGAGTGAACTGCGGTTATGAGACGTATATAAGAACGATCCTTCGCAGTAAAGCACTATTTGAGCAATAGTGGAAATCAGACCTGAAAAAAATTTCAGGCCTGTACGGGATTCGAACCACTGACCTCTGCGATACTAGTGCAGCGCTCTACCAATTGAGCTAACAAGCCAACTGGGAGCAGGCCATCAAATTAATTCGATATAAACCCGTAGATGATAAATCGAACAACAACAAACATATGAAACATATGAGTGAACTGCGGTTATGAGACGTATATAAGAACGATCCTTCGCAGTAAAGCACTNGAAGTGTTCCAATTGCTCCCGTTAAGTTTGTCGATCGAGAACTTTTCCTCCATGTTTCATTTACGTACTCCTGGGCCCATAACCTAAAGTTTTTTGCACGATTAAAACAAACTTCTGCTTCTTTTATTCCGATCACGTCCAAATAAACGGCTACAACAACAGAGAGAGAAAACAAAATACACTAGTATATATATGCTAATTCCTAAAAAAAAAAAATTTGAATAACAAAAGGAAAAGAAACACCTGGACCAATCATAGATCAAATTAACTATTCCTGTGAAATATTTCAAATTTAAAATAACAACGGCAAACATAATATGCATAATAACAACAATTAACACCTAAATTATTCAATAAATAAAAAAAGGGCGTGAGTTTAAAGCAATTTTTCATAACATATTCACTTCAAATTTGGATCATTCATCTCAAACTAATATGATGTCAAATTCAGGCTCCAAAAAGTTAAAAAAAAATAACAGAAATAAACATCACATTCCTTTGTATTCCAAAAAGTTTCAACATCAAAATACATTTGTATCAGCAGTACTGGATAACTCTAATCTTTTAGTGTTAAACAATTTGATGTGTTGCAAATTGGCCCAAAAACATACTATAATTCACTTCAAATCACTTTGGAACATGTCATTATTGTGAGTTTTCCATATTTTGGCTGTGTTGTATAAACCAAGCTTACTATGGAATACTCAAGTTTCTCCCAAACACTTCAACATTTAAATCTCATGAGTGATCAGCATATAATTTCTCTTTACAGTGATACTGCTGAGTCATTCATAAAGATAATGGGAATAGAGGAAGTGATCGCTAACCTAAGAAGCTTAGATTGTTCGACAAATTCTCCTTGTCAGTTCCATAGTAAATGCACAAAGAAAGGTATGGAGAATATGAATACAGATGTCAGGGTGTAAAGGCTCAAAGAAACCATCCGAAACGTATAGGAAATCAAGACTGGGGTAACTTGATTGATTTCCTATTTGTGAATTATTACTGAATAACGCATTTTTATTTTTGATCCATACAAGAATATGTGACCTCTCACGGGAAAACGTGCCTAGCGGTTAGCCGTTTTTAAACGGATAGCCGTTTACCAGCCATTCATCGGCCGTTCGACTGGATTGGCATGCGATTTGAACGCCTCAAGCTATCCGTTCTTGAATATTCATCATCCGTTCGAACCGTTGGAGCTATCCGTTTAAGAAACTTCATGGTCCGTTCAAACCCCTCTAGCCCTCCGTTCTTGAATATTCATAATCCGTTCGAACGCCTCCAGCTATCCGTTCTTGAATATTCATCATCCGTTCAAACGGTTCGAGCTATCCGTTCGAGAAAATTCATCAGCCGTTCACTTGGCACTTTGGCAACGATGGTAGAAACATTTTCAGTGTGATCGCAATCCATATCTTCTCTCGTTGAATTCTCCCTTTTGCGATTGTGTGAAATGGCGGTAATTGACACAAGTTGTTAGCAGTTACCAAGGTAACGCATTTTGATAGACTGACAGGGAAGCTGGGATTATGGAAATTTAAACCTGAATTGAAGTTGAGAAGTATCGAATTTTGTGCTTTTCGCGTGCAAGTTCCATGGTTGTACTTTATCTTAATCGGTCAAATTCAATGTCATACATGTAACTATAAGTCATAACACTTTTGCTACTACGAAAATATAGGTGTCAGACTGCACAGTGTGAGTCAAAAAAATTTTGACCACTGTGATGACAAATATTGTTGGTCATAAGAGGACAGAGCATATTACACCTTATTGATTTGTTAAATTATGTTCAAGCAAACCAATTTTCTCAATTTATTCTCACCTCGCGCATTTGACTGATTCTTCCAGAGTAAAACAACAGTATTTCTGTCAGTGTGGTTTTTCCAGAGTCAATATGGGCAGAGATACCAATATTTCTAATTTTTGACACATCCTTCAATCAAAATAAAGGAGAGATTGCTGTTTTAAATGCACGCAGCCAAGGCCACGAATGTTTAAAATGCACCCATCCACAAACAAATAATTCCACAAGGGGCCTGCATGTATAAAAGTAATGAACACTGCAGAAAAATCAAGGCTTTCCCTAGGTAACCAGGGTTCTTGCTAAAGATTTTCATAGGAGGTAAGAAATAAGAAATAGTAGGTAACTTTGTTACCTTCCCCCATGCTGGGGTGTGCGGGCCGCCCAGGCCTCCACTAGGGTCTAGGAGGAGGTTTTCCATGTGTGGATGCCATGTTTGCTAACTGCGACCTTTCTCCAAAAATGCTGGGCCTTTTCAGTTGACCGTGAGAAGAATGGAATGGAAAACATGGTGGAGGCCATTTCATGAGGTGACTGCGAGGGATGAATTTGGTCAAAAAAGCAGGATTTCTTTAACATAATTATGGTGTATTTTCAAACCAGTAACATGAGATAGATATCTTCACAACATTGCTTGGAAGGAGGAAATAGATACTTTTCCAAAAAAATTAAAAAAAAAATCATTGGATAACTTCAGTAAACATTTTAGTCCCAGGTCTCAGTGAAATAGCTGGTAACATTTACTTGAACAGCTGGTAAAAATAACCGGTTATCAGCTCTTAACAAGAACCCTGAGTAACATAGTAGCAGAAAATACAGAGAGGTAAACTTAGGAGCACCACCAGGATTTCTTCAAAGGCAGGAGAGAGTCAGACTGCGGCAAACAGAGGGCACACAACAGAATGTTATATTGACTGCAACCCTGTGTTTTACTCAGTGTGACAAAATGAGGCTTACAGAGGTGGGGGGGGGCAGTTCAAAGGCACCCAGGGACCTCCCCCCCAGCTACATTCTCAAAAGTATCGGGATAATATCACTATTCACGTGGGAATAAAAGACAAGGTAGAAGAGGTGGACAAAAATTAACATCGGTGGACATTTAATTTAGTTAAAAACTGTTTACATTCCCTGGGGAGGTTGTGTAACTCAAATAATATTAAAGTTATGGGCACTCACCGTTACTCCAGACGTAAAAAAACGAACCTTAACCTACAAAAAAAAAATAAGCATCTGTTTGTAAGATTCAAGATAAATTAATAACGAAAGATAAGTACAACAAGGTCAAATCTACGGTGGCTCTCAAGGGCCATCCACCTACAAAAATTTTTATGACTTTATCGCGCGATAAGTTTTGCTAAGTCCATTCATTCAAAAAATTTGCAATCAACATTATCGCGCGATAGAAAAACTTATCGCGCGAGAGAACACTGCATCGTGCGATAGAACAACTTATCGCGCGATAGAACAACTTATCGCGCGATAGAGCAACTTATCGCGCGATAGAGCAACTTATCGCACGATACATAATATTATCGCCCGATAATTTTATTACTAGC